TATTTTTATGACAGCCTCTCCAAATTTACCTTGTGAGGCATTATGATCTAATTTGCAATGCACTGAAAATTAGATTCAAAGAACATATCTTAATCCTGTGGAGGATAAGTGGGCCCTGTATCTAATTTTAACTTAGGGCAGCCTTTCCCAATTATTGTACTTGACATATTGTTTCCCAAAAGCAATTCTCCCTCATTAACATCATCATAAGGACAAGACCACTAGCTTCTAAAGGTCACAGAAAGTGCATCAAGACTCGAGAATCCACTCATTGGAAAAATTAAAAACAATTGCTGCAGTAACTACTGCAATGTCAGATTTTTCAAGTGAGAATGCTACATATACATCTCCAGGGTCCCCTCATTAGCAGTTGCCAAATTCCCCTTGTCCTTGAAGTTTATTATTATTATTTTTTATTGTTATTTTTCTTCTTTTGGCAATCTTAAAAAAAATGCTCAACTTCCCCCTATTTATAACATTTCTCACCCTTTGCTCTAGACTTAAATTGAGACTAACTACAAATTTATTATATTGTTTTAGACTACAGTTATTGACACCAGGTAGAATAGTGATTATTCTACAAGCTGAAATTCAGCAGAGTTAACAGAGAAGAACGTAAGGGAAAACGCCAAGAAAACACGAAAAATCTTATTATTCATACAACGACCGAAAATAACCCACAAACTTGGTTATTTAGCTAAAAAATCATAATTATCGGAAATTTACCAAAAATAGCAAAATTCAAATATTCATGTCCAAAGAAAATATGTAATAAGAGAAATAATATCCCAAAAATCCAACTTAATTCGAGTTCACAATCTATGTTAAAATGCAAACGAAATATTACTAAGAAAGGCGAAAAAATAACTTAAATTGGGGATTTGGAAAGGAAAATAGAGCAATTTGCCCTTGAAATCAATGCACCCTAAGCAAAGCTCATGACCACGATGTGCGAGCCGAAAAGAGCTTTTCGAATTGGGGTATTGAGCGCGATTCTGATAACCGTGGCCAAAGTTATGGCCAAAATACCAAAGGGTGTCCAAAAATGCCCCAATTAGGAAACGTTGTCGATTATTTGCCTTTTTTGCACTGATCCGCCAACACATGGTATCTCAATGCCATCAATGAACTATCAAACAACTGGACATCATCTGACTCGGATCTCTCTGCATTAGTCGCCCAAGGTTGGAAAGAACTCACCCTTGAGTTCACATTAGTGTCATCAGAATCTACAAAACAAGGACTTAGGTACTTCACTAAAGATATCAGAAGTCTTCAAATGGTTGGGGAGGCGCAGTTTGTAGGCATTATCATTGATCTTCTGTAGGACCTCACAAGGTCCAATCTTCCACTCCTTAAGCTGATTTACTCCACAATAGGAAAATGATCACGAGTTAATACCGTTCAAACAAAATCAACAACTTCAAAAAGTACCTGACGACGGTGACTATTGGCCCAAACCTTGTACTTGGTATTACTCTCGTGAATTGTGAACTTCACATGTTCATGGATACCTCGAAGATGTTCTTCAAATCCTACTACTTCGGTTTAGTTCCTGCCGACTCCTCTAAAGGTTTCCCAAGTTCTGGTTCACCACCTCGGTCTGACCATCTATTTGGGAGTGGTAACCGCTGTTAAAATTCAATCGCGTCCCCAGCTTCTCCCATAAACTTTTTCAGAAATGACTCATGAACTTAGTGTCACAATCAAAAGTAATTGATTGAGGAACACCATGTAAACGTACAATTTCTCTAAAGTAAAGATGGGCGGTTCGAGTAGCATCCATTGCTTTCCGGCAAGCTATAAAATGGGCAATCTTTGAAAACCTATCAACCACAATAAAAATAGAATCCAAGACCCATTGGGTACGGAGTAGTCTCAATACAAAATCCATACTGACATCAAACCAAGGGGTTTCAGGTACTGGTAAAGGTGTGTTAAGGCTTGTATTAGTAAGAACTCCCTTGGACCGCTGACACACATAACAACACCCTACATGATGAGCTACGTCACTGCTCAATTTGAGCTAATAATAGTTAGAGGAGACCAAAGCCAATGTCTTATCTCGCCCGAAATGGACCATGTTATAAAGTTCATTAATAATCTGTTTCCTTAGTGAACAATCTGGAATGCACAACTGTAATCCACGCAACAGATAGCCATTATGCAAAACAAAATCATGACGATGACCGTTAGTTACCTCTTAAAATATACTGCCGAAGGAAGGATCATCTACATTCCAATGTCTTATCTCGGCCAAAGTGCCCCTCATTGTGAAGTTCACTGATAATTCGCTGCCTCAATGAACAATCTGGAATGCACAACTGTAATCCACGAAACAGGTAGCCATTATGCAAAATTAAATTATGTCATTGATTGTTAGTTACCTCCCAAATTATCTTCCCAAAGGAAGGGTCTACAGCATACATAAAAGGAAATGCCTCAAATCCTACTACGCTGGTGCTCATTGTGGTGAGAGTAATGTGCAATGGCTCATTGCATTTGCGACACGATTCAGACTCCCAACTTGATGCCTTAGTGCAAATGTGAACTCCTACAAGTATGCTACCCACTTGGCATGCCGTCTACTGAATTTGTGTTAACCACTGACGTACTTCAGGGCCTCATGATCAGTGATAAAAATGAACGCTCTCTGTATCAGGTAATGAAGACAATACTTCAGGGACTGAAGTAAGGCATAAAACTCGATATCATAGGTGGAATAATTATTCTTTGACCCTGATAGTTTTTCATAGAAAAATGCTACTAGAAGCCCCTCCTGACTCAAAACACACCAATGCCAACCTCAGATGCATCACAATTTACTTAAAACACATTTTCAAAATCTGGAAGTGCCAAAACTAGAGCCTTTATCATCCTTTGTTTAACCAACTGAAAACTGGTATCTGCCTCCTTGGACCACTGGAAAGAATGTCCCTTGAGGCATTATGTGATTGGAGCAATCAGAGTACTGAAATCTCTGATGAGCCGATGGTAGAAGGATGACAATCCATGAAAAATTCTGACATCGTGCAAAGTTTTTGGATTGGGCCATTCCAAGATTGCATCTATTTTTTATTGATCTACATGAACACCATCAGTAGATACAACAAAACCAAGAAAAGTTACAGAAGTGGTAAAGAAAGAACACTTCATCTGATTAATAAATAGACGCTCCATCCTTAGCATATCAAAAACAGCACGGGGGTGATCAAAGTGTGATGCCCACGTCGGACTATAAATGAGGATGTTGTTAAAGTAGACTACCATGAACTTTCACATGGAAGGCCATAAAATCTGATGCATAAATCTCATAAAGGTGCTGGGTGCATTGGATATTCCAAAAGGCATGACCATCCACTCATACAATCCATGTTGCGTCTAAAACGTTGTCTTCTACTCATCTCCAAGCTTTATTCTGATTTGATGATATCCACTTTTAAAGTCAATTTTTTAGAAGACCTTAGAATCGGAGAGCTGATCGAACATATCATCCAGGCAGGGAATCGAAAACTTGCACTTCACTGTAATCCTGTTAATTGCTCTTCTATCAACACACATGCATCAAGAACCATCCTTCTTCGACACCAGTAGACCAGGAACTGCACATAGGCTCATACTCTCACGGATGTAGCCCCTCTCTAACTACTCTATCACTTATCGCTGCAACTCTTCAGCTTCCTTGGGATTGAGGTGATAAGCCAGTCGATTAGATAAACTCAATCCTGAAACAAGGTCAATTTGATGTTAAATATCCCTCAGAGGTGGCAACCTTGGAAGGAGATCTTCGGCATCAGGTCAGAGAGCTCTGTTAGCATCTATTGCACTTCTGTCGATAAATCTGGATCCTTGTTTGCCGTACTATTCCCACGAGGTAGTAGAACATAAACTACATCTTCATGCTCAATCTTAACTAAAAACCTGACATAGAAAGTAGGTTGGTATTATTGACTACCGTGGCAGGAGTGGTTTCCTCTCGACGAGGCTTCAATACAAGCTTCTTCCCCCTGATGCTAAGGGAATATGTATTCTTCCTCCCATCATGAATAACACTACGATCATATTGTCCAGGTCGACCTAACTATACATGACAAACGTCCATTGACACGACATCATACCAAGCATTATCAAAATATTTCCTACCGATTGAAAAAGATACTAGACATCGCTTTTCAACTGGTACCTCACCGCCTTTACTTAACTACAATAATTTATATAGTCTGGGATGACGATCCGTCTTCAACTGCAATTTCTGGATAGCCCCTTCAGACGCTACTTTCTCACAGCTACCACTGTCAATGATCAATTTGTAGATCTTATCAGCTACTGTGCAGGTTGTGTGAAAGATGTTGGTCCTCAACCAGTCATCTTCTGAGTCGCCTTTGGAAGTCAATAGACTCTTGCATACGATTAGAGTCTCATGGTTGTACTACAACAAAAATTGCCTACGGCAACATTCAAACAACGTTGCCGTAGACCTTTTGCAACGTTTGGACATTGTTGCAAATCGAGGTGTTGCCGTAGAGTGGAAAGATACGGCAACGTTTATTAAATGTTGCCAAAAAGACCTACGGCAACGTTTTTTAACCGTTGTCAAAGACTTACGGCAACGTTTTTTAAACGTTGCCAAAAAGACCTACGACAACGTTTAAAAATGTTGCAGGTCTTTGGCAACAATTTTTAAATGTTGCCAAAAAACCTTTGGCGACGTTTTTTAAACGTTGTCATAGGTCTTTTTGGCAACGTTTAAAAAACGTTGTCGTAGGTTTTTTTTTAAAATTGTCCGGCAAAATTAAAAATACTCATTTTCAACAAATTTTAAAATTGAATAAAAATTGATAATTTTATTACAAATTTTTGAATCCATACGCTTTGAACATTAAAATGTAATACATCACCACCTAAATAAAAAGGAGTTCCAAAAAGAAATAAAATTTTGGACAAACAAAAGCAGCTATGAAAATGCTACCCCAAGAACTTCACAGCAATCAACTTTCTTATTATCTGGAGGTATCAAAGTGAAGCACAAGTGTTGCAAGGACAGAAGCATATCTTTGTTCAACTGCTTTTTTTCCAACTTTACCACCACCTCTGCGATTAACAAGGATGAAATTGTTGTTTGTTGCAGAATAAACATGACAAACTATACAATGTCATTAAAGAAAGACCTGAAGAACGCAGTGAGAGCTATAACAGCTGCTTAGCAGCTAATACTTCATTAAAAACAATTCTTGAGCTGGTGGTCTCAGCTAGAGAGCAGATCTTCTGGAGCAGAAAGCAAAGATTGTGTCCTTCTGTTGGCATATACATATGGACCTTGGTTAAAACAAATTCAAATTTAACTCCTGGAGGAAAATAAATGGTAAATAAACTAATCCTTCCAACATTACAAATATCAAATAATTCTTTGACAACACCTTGAAATATCAGACTCATTCAGCTCCTTCTTCCTATCCGTAACAAACTCAATCACAGCCTGAATTGCTCCTTCTGCAGATTGTTTGATCTTGTCGCATATAGCTCCTGAGAAAACATGTAGAGAAGTAACAAGCTGTACAATTGATTGGCAACAGCATGAGGCAGATCTTATCTAAAGTTTTCAACTATCCCAAATAGTTAAAATCTGCCCGTGGAAATTTTTCATAGGTACAGAGCAGTCATCAACTAATTAAACATAACAGATGCTATCAGAAATGCTACCCCACAGCCATCAACTAATTAAACACAAAGGATGCTATCAAAAATCAAGAAATAATATTTTGTGCAACCTAATGGCTAATATTAAAACACTGATTTCTTTGTCCTATTTTTTTATATATTAGTGTTACCTTTGAAGTTTGAATTATCATGGCTTTTGAAAACCAAGGTCAAGGTTAACATAGTCATCTCTAATGGCTCATTATATTTTTGCAAATATTGAGGAAAACATTGAGGTTCTTCATCTGCTATGCCATAAGATCTGTGGTGCATCTCCTCAAATAGCAGAATAAACAATTTCAGGACCACATTTCATTGATGTCCATGTTCTTGTTAAAGAGATCTGAGAACACCTTCTGGTATGCTATAAAAATTTCTCCTCAAATCTCTCCAATTACTCAGATTTAGCCCCCAAGACAATCAATGAAATCTGACTATGCTATAAAAATTTCTCCTCAAATAATTTCGGCACTCTGTTTAATTTCCTCCATTAGCTTCTTCAGCCTTTCCTCAAATTCACTCAGAACAAACTTATCATAAATCTGACTAGGTAAATGTAAATTGGAACACACGTATCACCCTTTTCTTTCTGCAAATTGACTAAAATATCAATTCTTCTATGAATTTGCCACAAACGATACAATCAGCCTTAAAAATGCACACTTTCACAAAAATTCTTTAACATCTTGAAAGAAGTAATAAAACCCCATCAAAATTCGCAAATCTAAGTTTACCTTTCTAAAACCTTGAGTTCAGCCATCTGCTCCTCAACACCATAGACAAAGTCCTTGGTTCGAGCTTTCATCTCCTCTTTTTGCTCCTCCAAATCGAAAACCAAAACCACCTAAAAAAGGGCCTCGCCGGCGCCACCATCAGAAACATCCCTGCTGGTGCTGAAACGGAGGCCGAGATTCTTGATTTTGAAGGTTTTGGGTTTGCAATAAAAGAGAAAACTTTGGGTTTTGGGAGGGCGAAGGGGTGGCAGTCATGGGCGGAGGGGAGGAGGAGCGCGGGGGTGGAATGGTGGTGAGAGAGGTAATTAATTAGGTTTCGGATTGTGTGGGTTTGAGAGAGAAGAAGTCATTTTTCATTTTTTTCTCAGTGGGTTGGAGAGAAATGGTTGAAGGGAGGCGTGAATAAAGGGTAGGGTTTGGGTAATTTTTGAGTTTTAGCAACGTTTGAAATTTGAGAGTTTTAGCAACGTTTGTCAAACGTTGCTAAAAGTATTACCTTTCGCAACGTTTAATAAACGTTGTGAAAGGTAAAACATTCCACAACACTCAATAAACGTTGCAAAAAGTGAGACCATTTGCAACGTTTGATAAACGTTGCTAAAGGTGACTTTTAGCAGCGTTTATCAAACGTTGCGAAAAGTCTTACCTTTCGTAACGTTTCATAAACGTTGCTAAAGGTAAAATCTTCTGCAACACTCAATAAACGTTGCTAAAGGTGTCTACTGGAACTTTTTTCTAAAAAACGTTGCCAAAACTCATTCATATTAACCAATGGAAACATTTACTTACTAAAATGTTGCCAAAAGACCGTTTTGGCAACATTTATCAACAAATGTTGCCTTTTTAATGTTGCAAAAGATGGATTTTGTTGTAGTGTTGTCTCCATACAGCACATCTCCCTCTTCATTATTGTCATATATGGGCTCTCCAACCTCCTCGGTTTCGTCTACTACATTTTCCTCAATCAGGAGATTTTTACCTGTCCGTCTAGCTGGTTTCCTACAATTAGTTGCTCTATGTCCCTATTCACCACATCGACACACCTAATACCCGAGCTAGAATTATCCCTCAGTAGTTGTTGAGCAGGACGGGGTGGTTGAGGGCGAATTGGCTGGCAACCTTCGTTTCTAATCACTGGTCTCCCGTTCTGTTGCTTTTCCACAGCAAGTGCACGCTGGTGCGCTTCAGAAACGATCCACAGCGAATGAAGACTGAGGACAACCTGAAGGGGCTATTGTAATCCACCTAAATACTGTGCCACCATCTGTTCTTCCATCTCAGATAGATCATTCAGGGCTATCAATTGAGAACTCCTTCATATAATTAGCAACCAATCTTGTGTCTTGTCTCAGAGAATGAAGCCCTTGAAACAAAGTTTGGGAGTAGCCGAAAGGAAAGAAGTGGTCTTTCATCTTCTCTTCATCTTCTCCCAATCAATGAACTTGCCCTTACCCTGCCTATTTCGTGAATACCTCAACTGTTCTCACCATGTAGATGCTCAACCCTTGAGTTTGATAACGACTAGCCTTACTTTAACACGATCTGGAACTTTCTTATATTCATAAATTCATTCAACTTCATTCAACCAATCAACAAATCCTTCGGCCTATAACGTACCCGAAAACTCGGGTAGATCCACTCTGAAACCGAAGTCTACATGACAATCTTCCCAACCACGGTGGCTCTTAGACTCAAGCATGATTGTTATACAGGTTTTTGAAATTGGTGTCCGAATCGTGACCCTCTAGTTCACGATCATCAAAATCTTCTGTCGCTAGATGTTGAGTTAACTCCGCAACTTGCCTCTGTAAATCTTCAATCATCACATCATGAACGTTATGATCACGGTGTGGGACTTCTTCATTCAGAACCTACCCGCGACAACCCTGACCACAACCACCAACCATGGTAGGACTGATGAAATTTCACCCGAGGAAGATGTTGATACTATGATACCAACTGACGCCGGGTACAATAGTGATTATTCAGTAGACAGAAATTCAGTAGAGAATTAACAGAGAAAAACGCAAGAGAAAATGCCAAGAAAACAAGAACAATCTTTATTATTCATACAACCTCCGAAAATAACCCACAAGCCGGGTTATACAACTAAAAAATCATAATTATCGAAATTTGACCAAAAATAACAAAATCTCAATATTTATACCAAAAGAAAATATGTAATAAGAGAAATAACATACCAAAAATTCAGCTCAATTCATGTTCATAATCTATGTTAAAAAGGAAAACGAAATATTACTAAAAATGCAAAAAATAACTTAAATTGGGGATTTGAAAAGGAAAATAGCGGAATTTGTCTCGAAATCGATGCACACCGAGCAAAGCTCGATGACCACGATGTGCGTGCCGAAAAAGAGTTTTCCAAATTCGGGTCATGAGCGCATTTTTAATAACAGTAGCCAAAGTTATGGCCAAAAACCGAAACGTGTCAAAAAAGATCGTCGATTACTTGCCATTTTTGTGATGATCCGCCAACTGTTATTATCTCAACGCCATCAACGAGCTATCAGACAACTCGACATCATTTGACTCGGATCTTCCTGCATCAGTTATCCTACTGAGTCTAAAATACACGTTCCTTCAATTTTAACATTTCAGGTTAAAACTCATGGATGGTGGTTTAGCGATGCCAAGTTGCCAAATTAAATTTTTTTCAACAAAACAATCCGTAATTAATTTTTGTCTAGATATTTAATTTTTTTTATTAAGTGTTCTAAGTTTCATGATTTTACGTTGATTTAATTCAGTTCGAATAAATTAAGGATTTAAATTTTAAGTTAAATCTTTCCACGTCAAGCATAATTATGAATTGATATTGATAATACCTGAAATTTAAGTCCACAAAATTTGGGCCGATACAACTTAGTCTAAAATTTTACGTTAAAACATAAACAAAATCATTGAAAATTTTACAAGTCCAAGTCCAAGTTCTATAATTCTAATCATTATAATACATCAACATATGATAGAAATATTTTTACCTCTTAATGGATACTAATTGGTGCAACATTCACAATTCTAACACATTATCCATTCTTTCCATAAAGATAAGAATATATAACACGTGAATTCATTGATTAAAGTCAAATAATATAAAAACAATTAATAAAAGAAAATGAATAGAAATATTATGATAATAGATTCTATAGCTTTATGTGAATCATCCAATATTTCTACATCATTAAAATATTAACGTATCACTAAAGGTTCTTTATTAGTATACAACCAATTTTTAGGGTAAATCACCGCCTCAATCATATTTGTACTCTACGAACTCCTAGAAGAATTAACAATTAGACAACTCATAGAGAATACAAACTCAGAACAATTGTATATATTTTAATAATAACATGTCCTTGACAATTTGGGATACAACCCTGTACTTATTTGCATTTAATTTTCACCAAATTAATAAGTCGTAAGGTTCATTGATCAAATCTTCACAACGACCATGTAATTAATCCACCAAATCATTTTAATGATTAAAAATAAGATCTAGAAATTAAATTAGAATGTAAATAATTGATTGAATGACTTGACCAAAAATTGAGACGTTAATAAACAAAAAATGCCGTCCACTAAAAATTTAAGAGAGCCCGACAAAAATAAGAAAAAAAATAACATAAATCATAATAAAAATATAGAAAACAATTACTAAAAAAATAAGATAAATTGACCTAAAATTTTAGTCGAATTTCGAAAAAATCATTAGTAGAAGGAAAACAAATAATGTGAGTTTGAATTAAATGTTATATTTAATTGTCTACTTAATTGTGATGGACGATGGATGAATATGGTTCAAGAGTAGTTGTTCAACACTTTAGCCAATTTGCTGATTTTGCATTTACAATTGTGATGACTGATAAGTATTTGGGTATGATTTAATTAATTAATTGGAAGAAGTAATTGTCTTTTTAGGTATTGAGCTTAATGGGGTGAGGTCTAATATGGATGTATCTTTTAACTAGGATATGTTTAGTTTTAATTGAGTTGGATAAAAGTTAAAATTAATTTCATTTCAGATTTTTTTTGTCAATGATTTGGCATTTTACAGTTTGACGATTTCGTTGTTCAATCCTATTAAATTGGATTTAGGATTGGAATTTTCCTTAGTTGACTTGGGAAAGTCCTCAAGTTATATTGGTCATCATTGCCCCAATATAAAAAAAGATGAAAAAAAATTTAACAATAATTTACTTGAAAAACTACTAATTGAAGAAAAATCATGGGGTTATCAAGACAAAGATATTTTATCACGTGAAAAATTATTATAATTATGTAGGATCTCACACTCCCAAACCTCAGGAAGATCCAAGAACCTACATACCAAGACCAACTTAGTATGTACCGAATGACAGTACAAAGGACCACCAAGTAATCAAAAAGTTGAAATAAAATGTTTTAAGGAGAGTCCAGCTTTATATAGAAAGACAAAATGAGGAGTTTTAGTTTCAATTTGAGATTCTAAACAATCTCATTACAATTGGGAAACTAAAAATCATATTCCGTGTGAAAAGACATATACAATCTAATACTAACTAAACAGTACCAAAACAAAATCCTAACATATTGAGCTCATATATGATTTTTAAACTCACTTTTGTCTTTGTATAATGCCTCAATTCGTTAACACAATCGTATCCTTCCTTCTTGCTGAATAATGCAGCAATTTCCTTGGGATATTAAACTCGCTTAATAAGCTTATTACCTGACAAGTGAATCGATGTGTAATTTAGTAGAGCAATGATTTTTCATTGTTGAATCAAATCTAGTGATACGTGATAAGTGCATTTTATACACTTATTGATTGACTGGCGACCAATTGGGTAATTAGCATTGCATGTTCGTTGTTTATTAAGTTAGGTTACGGTTTTGTTTGAGGACAAACAAATGTTTAAGTTTTGGAGTGTTTGATAAGTGCATTTTATACACTTATCCGGGCTCCAAATTATGACATTTTGCGATTCTTTTAATGAGATTATAGTTTAATTTATTGTGAAACTCGATCAATGATAAAGAATTGGAGGAAAAAATGCAAAATTGACGAAAA